AAATACTAATGAACAGCTAATTTTAGTTAATAGAAAACCAAATTTTATGATAAAAAATATCAGTGAAAAAAGTAAAGCCTGTATAAAAATCACAGACATTAAACTTTATTCGCAGAAAAGCAAATTTACATTTTGATTTCTAAAATGTATTAATTGCATTAAAAAAACTTATTATTTTGGTTCAAATAGTTTGAATTTTATTTGGCTTCATTGCTTTAAACTAAAAATACTTCGAAACGTCATTTTCGCAATCGTGTATAAAACGAATAAAATTGTGGATTATTGAATTAATTGGGATTATTTAAATAATTAATAAAGATTAGAAAAAAATTTTTTAGCCGGATTAATTATGCTTCCGCAAGACTGCGGTTAGCGAGTGAAACTCTCTCAAATATGGAGGTCAGTATGTTCAATTTCCACCGTAGCTGTGGGAGTTTCAGTCCTTCTATCTATATTAAGATCAAAATTTGATTCATTGTCTCTCAAATTGACTAAGGCTCTCAATTGATTCGTGACTTAGTACCACGCGCCATTATTTTCAGTGGGATATAAATATTACTTGTGAGAATTCAAAAAAGTGTGTAAAGAATCCATACTGTTTACCAGGTTAGTTTAAGGCGCTTTGAGTTCTCCTTCGTCTCATATTAAAATGTCACAAGATAATTTTCGTTTTAATTGCTCAGCTTTTCCAAAATTTATAAATATCTTCTCACGCAGCACAAAGAAATATCATACGTTTTACGGATACAACACATACACGTCACATCGCGCTTAACATGGAGAACACATTCACACACAATCTACTTATCGTAATTTTGACCTGAACCAGAGCGTGATCAATCTTCCATAAAGTGCCCTCAGAGGTACTGATTTGTTATGGGAACTTGGTTGACTTTGTTACCCAGACTGATTTTGCACGAACCAGTCACCATTTTGTAGACGGGGAGACTTTGTCTTGCGGGGATTGAACTCGTGACCTCTCGGATGTGGCTCAATGTCCTACCAGCTAGGCTATCCCGACCTCATACGTTTTACAATGGTAGTAGTCGTAATACTTTATTTTACGTCGCACTAGAGCTGCGCAATGGGATATTGGCGACGTGGTCATGGAAGCCTCCCTGAAGATGATACGAAGACATGCCATCATAATTTGATCCTGTGGTGAGGGTATACGTTTTACAATGGAAAACTCTTGGCCTATCATATAATTATTTTTTTCCATTTGTTGTCAGGAGAGTAGTTGCCAGAAAAAAGATATTAGATGCTTAAGCAAAATGCTTTACTTTTCCTTCATATTAAACACAAATGAGAACATTTACATTGTAATTGAGGATGCTTTGAAATTTAGATAATGAAACAAAAAGAAAATATTAAAAAAATTATATTCTAAACTTAAGTTTTCAAATGAATCAGGGGTTATGTATTTTAGCCCTATTTCCTGAGAATCACAAGTAAAATTTACTTTTAATTTTAACCTCAAGATGTCCAAAATTTCGTTTTATAATGTATTTTTTTAATGTGAATAATTATAGAATAATTAATTCCCTTTTGAATTGAACACTTTTAAAAAAAGTTAAAGTTTGAGAAAACGTTACAGTAAATATGATACCAATACAATAAAATATGATACCAATACCATAATTGTAAAGTAATATTAATTAATCCCTAAAATGTTTACATTAGTTTTCCATAATTATAAAATATCGCATAAATATCCTATATTATCATTTCAGAGAAAAAATGTAGATTTGTACGAATAATTTTAAAAAAAATAGTTTTGCTATCCAAACAGAGCGTCTTAAAAATACAAAAATAAAATCTAACAGACAAGAAACAACTATTTCTTAGGTAATATATTATTTAAAACACATATTCAACCTACAAAGCAATTAATGCATATTTGAAAACATTTATCACGCGAGAATTTTTAAACATTGAAATAATAAAAAAATGGATTCCATTCTTCCAACTTTTTTTTCAACCAGTGCTTACATCTTGAGAAACAGCAACTTGACATGAGCTTTATCACTCTAAGTTCATCCTTGTGGAATCTTTGTTGGAAAAGGAAGTTCAATCGGTCGAGTTTGGATCAGAAGAGGCTCCAAAGGAAAGTCTTACAATGCGCTGTTTTTTCCTTTAAAGAAGATCAAAAATTCCTCGAGAATCTTTGCCAAAAAAGGCACCTCTTTTTCTCATTCCTTGTTCTCCCTTCCGTCTTTCAAAAAATAATGTACCGTCTGTTTGTAGACATGTCAGGCTCTTATTCTTCTGAGAATATTTCCTTCTGTGAACTTCAATAAAGCTACCTGGCTGTGGTTTAATACAACTCACATCCAAAAGAAACGCCCATCTCCTTTTAATATTTTCTTCTGTCGAGATTGGTAAAAGTTCTTCTTCACGATCTTATTAGTTTCTCATAGAAGTTTGACGTTGTGAGATTCTTGGAATTTTTCCGCTGTGTAGGCATACTTTGGCGTTATGATGGCAACAGATCATCTGAGTTTATTTTATATTAGGTAAAAAGTTGGAAGCATTGTTTTATAAAGTTAGAAATAGAAAAATTCCTCTGACTTTTACCAAAATATTAGATATATTTACCGCGGCAAAGAAAGCGAAGATTTGGCATTAGACTATTGACAAAATTAAGGGATTTTATTAGTTCCTTGTTCAATCGAATATTAACGACTAGAGAAAAAGTTACCGTGAGAGATTTGCATTAAAAGGATTTAAATAGTATAGTTAGTTTCAATCTTAAAAGTTTCTTATAGAAGTATGACGCTGTTCTGTTTCATTGCATATACTTAATTTTTGTTAAAATGGCAGCATGTTATCTGAATATATTTTACGGGTAAAAAAGGAATCATTGATTTATTTATCAGAGTAATATAAATGTGAAAAATCTGAGCGAAAAAAATTCCATGAGCTTCTACAAATATATTGGATTCATAGACCTCAAATATAAAAATGACTATTTGAAATCATATAGTAAATAAAGAAATATATTTTGCTCAGACTAGATTTAATGTACTAGATCATTGTTGAATTATATAATACCAAAAATAGGTAAGAGTCATTCTTCATGATTTTGTTCGTTTTTTAAAATTTTGGCATTTAGAGATTTTTATAAGTTTTTTCTCTGCGTGAGCATACTTTGACGATATGCTAGCAGCAGATTGTACTAGTTTGCTTTATATCTGGTCAAATGTTGGAAGCAATGTTTCATAAAATTAGGAATATAAAAATTCCCTTGACTTTTACCCGAATATTGACATCATACGAATTATAAATTAATTAATATTGTATTTAATTATACCGAAAAGGCTTACACTGGACTTTGTCAAGTCAAATAATAACAATGAGTTTAAATGATATCCCAAAAGTGTGTTATAAACTAACTTAAAATCAACTAATGCCCGTTACACAACTAAAGCTTTTCTTATAGTGATCTTTATAAAGTTTTTCAACGATGTCAGTTACCAGTTTTAAAAACGGCACATGCATTTTTAGATAATTTACTGAGATTAAAAATAATAAATTCTTTTCAGCAGCTTTTTTATAGATTTCACGTTTTGATTATACTATAAAATACAATAATAAATGTAGTAAATTAACTAAATAATAAAAATACAGTAAACTTACTTCTCAAAATCCCGTTTTTTTTTGCGCGCGCGCGTTCAGAAAATTTATGGGCGTGCTCTCATAATATGATTGATACCTTGATGTAGCTTATCTTCACTTTGAGTGTCACAAATAATAATCACATGTAATTACGAATTCTGCTTTCAGTGAAAGCTACCTCTAGTATATTACTTGATCAAATCTTACAGTTATATTGAAGTGGTTGAGCAATATACCTTTAGTTGCCTCTTTTGTGTTTTTCACATGGCATCTGTTTTTTTATCTCTATAGTATATGAAATGACTAAATCACTATTACAATTTTTCGTGCTTGAAAGATTGGTAGTTTAAGTCTTGTATTAATTATTGACAGATTTCCCCATTTTCTCTATTAAATCATTACTAATAACTACTGATACTGGTAATTATTAATTACGGATAAAAATTATTACTTACTAAATAAAATTAAATTGTTTCTGATTAAATTATTACTGATAACTACTGAAACAGATAAATTATTTCTGATACTTTTGACTATTAAATTATTGCAGATAATTATAACTGATTACTGCTTGAATTAATACTGATAACTGTGTCTTGAATGAAAATTTACTTTTCATTTTATATTTAAAAAATCTATTTAGTGGAAAAATCCTGTTTCAAATTAACTTTTAAATAAAACAAACTATGATTTAGTAACATGTTTCTTTATTTTTCTCCAATATTGTTGAATTTCCGAATAAAAATACCACTGAAAACTAGGATTTGTACAAAGTAAGGTCTAAGGAAAGCATGGTGTTATGTGTTACAGTCATTTGATGGATTATGGAAATTCGGGTTGGTATTTCAACAAGTTGAAGTACAAAAACAACGTATAAAAGTATATTGACAACAAAAAAATATCCTTTATCTGAAAATGACATTGAAAAAATTATCTTTCTTTCTAGATGATATGTTAAAAAAGTTTTAAATTTTAGCTTAAATATATAAGGGAACATTAATTTTTAAAGTAAACAAAAATTAGAAGCTGCATAAATATTAAGTGGAACATTTATCAAAATGTTTGTTAAATATTTTGATATTTTATTTTATTTTGTTTTCGTGAATTGGTTGCTTTGACGCTCAGAGAAGTTTCTGAATGAACAAGTTTCTTTTTATTGTTTAGTTCAGAAATTCGGTCAAAACCCCTAAAGCTGATATTTCAAATACTTATTAATTTGCTCATATTCAATACATAAGTATTTAAAAATTCTCCATAAAATATTATTCCTTATGTTTCACACAATTTCACAAACAATATTTTTATTATATTGACGTAAAAATGGTTTAAAACAAAAATGGATTAAAAAAATTGTATTGGCAGACCGCTATAAAAAGGTACACTAATAATAAAATTTGTTTATTGTACCTTAATGGCTGCCTGCTTTTTCATAGGTTTCATTCATATCTTATACGTCATTTGTACTCCAGAACGAAGATAACTTTCTTATCTTCAAACATGCTTTCAACAAACTTTCAAACTTTGAATAACTGGCATAATTATTCAATTACATTCCTCAGAGTAGATGTGAGATGATCACCAATTTTTCTTTATCACATCTTTTCGACACATATTGAAGGTGAAAGTGAACATATGTATAGATATATTTATTTATTTATTTGAATATTGAAACTTTTTACAAACACGTAAGTTGTACGTTGTACAAAACAGTCTAGTGAATCTATGACTTATACAACAAGAGACAACAGGAGGCCAGAAGAGCCACTGTCCACCTAACGGCAGGGTTCTGTGATGCCGAGTCGCGCACTGAAAAAAAACAGAAAAATTTAGAATACATCATATAGTTTAAACAGTAATAAAAATAGTGAGTTTTCAGGTATTTATCATTCTAGTTTAAAGCAAAACTTGATGCTCTTGCATTGCTCCATACGTCAGTTATTGAGTTTGAGTGAGCGCATCTTCGAATGAATACCGTTTGCTAATTTTTTTTTAAACGAACTGTATAAAAAAATCAAAGTCAAAGAAAAAGATGAGAATGCTATAAGTGGCAATATTTTCTGAATAATCATAAAGGTGTGTCGATTTTTATTTTGAAAAAGATCGAAATCACCTGTGATGGGTTTAGTTACATCACACAGTTTCATCATATTTTTGTATTTTTTTTGTTTTTTTTTAGGTCAAAATGACCCTTGAACTTTCTTTAATACTACAAAATACATCACTTTTAAGTCCTTTTTTTAAAACTTTTTTCAGCAAAATATTTCATGACTTACTGCTTCAAAAAGTTGCTTAGTAAGACCGCTTGTTTGAAAACAAAAATATTATTATAACGAATTATTACCACCCTCGCCAGACTTGATATTTGCATGAGTTTGAAATTTTAACCCTCTGAAGCTGAGTTTTTAACAAACATGTTTTTATAAATTAAATAAATTTTTAATTCTTTTTTTTAACTTTCTATGATAAAATATAGAATTCTTAAGGAATCAAACTTAAGTACAAAATAAAAGCACCTGATGTGTATCAACAACACAAGGCAGTTGAGTAGTGAATAACTTATCAAAGATTCTATGCATCGGCTGTGCTTGAAAGTTTAATTTTAGTGATTTATCTACCGTGTATTTACTTGAGATCAAATCGAACGAAACAGAATTTCATACAGATGTGAAATTTGGTGCTACATGTCTGTTTGAGTTGCATACAAAAGGAAGTTTCATTGGATTTTATGTCAGTCGCATGTCATTGTGCTATCTTTCTAAAATAACACTACGGAATTGTTTGGAACTAAAGTGGAATTAAATGGTTTTGCTTGTATTGTCGAAATTATGGCAGCATAACGCAGAATTCATGACAAAGAGATAACTGCATTCTTATTCAACTGTAAAGCTTATCATACTCTCCATTGCTTTTGGACAATTTTAAAAACATATCGCTTGATATATTTAAAACAAATGTTTTTGGTAAGTACTAAATCCATCTGAAACCTCTGTGGGTGTAGATCAGGGATTGTATTAAACTTGACAATGGATAGTTTCTCACATGCGTCAAGAAGTTTCCCAATACTGTAGTATTTCCATAGAAAGAGGCATTGAAACATGATTCCATGTCGAGACAAATGTGAAGATAGCTCATTGACAAGCAACTAATATATGAGCTACTGTAACTGTCTCCATGTATGAAACTTAAACAGTCGCATTGCACCAAATTTGACACCAGTTATGAATGCTGTTCCATCCAAACCGATAGTAAATAAATCCTCTGTAGAAAATTGGCTTGTTTTCAAATAATCTAAAATTCCAGAAATTAAAACCGAGTCTTCATGCTCAGCATTGAAGTTATACAGTATTCAACTCAACTACTTTAACTCTTTGAAGTACACCGACCGCTCTCGGGAGCTGTATTATTTTATACTTTAGTTTTATCCTGAACAATTCTATATTGTTATAATAGAAATGAAGACAGTTTAAAATGACTAAAACTAATATTTAAAATAATGTTTAATATAAACTCTGCTTTGAAGGGCTTGAAATTTAAAAGTAATTTAAATTCCAAAAGCATGGCAATGAAAGTAAATAGAATATGATAACAATATTTTTATTCACAAATAAAGGGTCTTAGTATGCAACTATTCCCGCTCCGGGTGGTTAAAAATTTAGATTCATAAAAAGTAAATAAAAAATTATGTATTTTGTAAAATTAGAGAAATTTAAAGGGCCTGGTGGGGGTATAAATATATTTTGATTTAAAAATAGAATAACAACATTTGATACCTAAACCCATGTTCCCCACTGGTGATTTGAATGTTTTTTTTTTGAAAAAGATAAAAATTGCTCCCCCCAAATAAAAATACATTTCTTCGATGGATGTGAATTCTTGACCCTTCAAAGCAGGGGTGAGGTTAGCCACCAATTTGGAATATTTGGTCTAACAATTATAGATGTCAAATGTCTGATATCTTAGCGATTATTTTAATTTTTGTATATTTTGGTAAATCTGATGCTGAAATTTCCGAACACAATAAAAATTTTGAGTTTAAATTACAATGTTAAAAATTATGCTAACATTTGTATACATCGATACTCAAAGAGTTTTTGATCAATATTATAAATGAATAAATGAATTAAATATGAAAATAATGAAACAAAATGAAAATAATAAATTAGTTGAAAAATACTTCTTAAATTGTATTTTCTTTTGATAAACTAGTTTTATAATCGTGTTCAATCAATATTCGCTTAAATAGTTGAAGCATTATAATTTAAATTAGCATTAGAGGCCCAAAAAAATTAAACCGTTCTCTTACCATACTTGTTGGAGTGAATTTATGAGATTGCGGCTACCTTTCATATTTTGAGGATCAAGAATCCAAATTGATCGAAAAAAGACATCTTTCTACAAAGCAAAAAATAATTTTTGATCAGGTTTCGTAACTTAAACGAGACTTAAAATCACGATTATTCTCATTATAGCATATTTATGGTAAATTCCTTTGAACCATTTACATTGCATCTATGTACACTGTGAACAATTCTAGATCAAACAACATTATAATTTGCAGACACTTTCGGGTAACATCTGTAAAATTAATTTACCTTAAATCATTTTTAACCGTAAAATATTATACCATAGTTTTTACAGTAAATATTTAACCCCTTAACGATCGGTTAATTTTCAAGAAAACTGTCATAAAAGTGCCTATTTTTTAATCCCAGAAAATTATATAATATATATTTTTCATACGCATATTAATTTTTAATTTTTAATTTGTTTTTATCTTGAAATTTTGAAAAAATTAATTTTAAAAAAAGCCAACATTCAGGGTTACTATAACTTAATGTTGATTTTCCAGCAAGCAAGGAAAATTCAAAAAATATAACTCCATAATGAACACAATATTAAAAAATAAATTTTGTGTTGAGCACAAACCACGCGTATTCACAAAGAGCCTAACTAAGTAACTTTGCTAAGATTGCAAATAACATATCACAAATACACGTATTCGATTAGTGCTGACATCTAGTTTAAAATAAACTAACTATCTACAATTACCTTAAAAATATCCTGGTACTGTCATTGCCATTTGGTGTGTAAAATGAGAAATGAAATTTTTTCCGGGCAAAAGGTAGTTACGACTGAGCATTCTATCCCGGAAATATCACGGGAGCGCGAAATAGAGAGCAAAACCTCACACCGTCATTTTCACGGGAACAAGAAGGAAGGGGTTAGTTAAAGTAGTTCAGTTAACTGTAGATTTCACGGTAATTATAACTGTAAAAAGTACTGTATATAAGTTTTTTTTTATGTTCCGGTAAAAATAATTGAATTGAAAAAGTACCGACTGTACGTTTTAAATCTATAATAATCTTTAAATCTATTTAAATCTCATTTAAAATCCTTTTAAATATATATTTACCGTATCGGTCATAGTGCGGTTATGCATGAATTTTTTACAGTAATTTGAGCCGGTATTTTTTACAGTGAAATTATGGCAAGTTTGCAGCAAATTCTTTTGAATCATTAACATTGCATCTTAGTACATAATATTCCGATCATTAGATTAAAAGTTATTAAGGTCTTCTGTTTTAGCGAAATGTAAGTGTAATGGAAGTGTGATGAGCGTAATGCAAGTGTAAGTGTGAATTAGTGAAAAAAAATGTTCATTCTCTCTGCATAAGTTTATGTTAGCAAAACACGATCATGAAACTCATTAAAATAGGAACGTTTTAGTAATATTCTCTTTATTTACTAAAGTTGATTTCCTTTTTAAAGATAAATCCAGGTATAAATATAACGTCGATTTCAGTATTAGGGTTGTCTTAAATAGATAATGGTCCTACCTCTTTGGAATCGATATTCATTTGTTTTGGTATGATAAATAAATGACGAAAACTTCTCATTGTCTACGAGACCAATTGAATTAAATAAACAGTCAAAACGTGTGTAGTAATATGGTATTGATGTATTTCGATTTAGGATAACTCAAAGTAGTTAATGATATTTTCTTAATTAATTGTTTGATAGGTGAACAAATAATGAATAAAGATGAACCTTTTATTTGAGTTTGAATTCTTTGGTATCGAGTGGCAGTGTTATAAGTTTATTCTAGAAATTATTAGTCAATATTACAATCAAATAAGGGAACAAAAACCAACAGACATTTATTGAATACAGGGGAGTTTGTATTATTGTTTTGCTGTTTATCAAACCAATATTAAATAAGGAATTTGCAAACGTTATATATTGAAAAATACTTTAATCTTTGTTGAAGCAATTCCGTTAGTTCAAGTATTTGTTCAAAAGCATACATTTTGCAGGCATTAAAAATAAATTAAAGTTAAGAATTTATGGTATTATTGAGAAGATTGAAAAGTTATCTGACGTTTTAAATATAAATCTGAGCGAGTTACAAACGTTCCTAAAAATATGAAAAGTACCACTTGTAGAATTTTCAATGTGTTTATATATTTTTATTTACTTAAACATTCTTAAAAATGTAAAAAAATGAAAATTGTATTATTTTTAAGGAGTTTAAATACTTTTGTTTACTTGACTGAAACAGACATTTCATTCGTTTAACAACTATTTTAACATTCTATTTACATCGTTGTCATGTGTTTAAAAATTTCTAAAAGTGCAGAGAGATTTTTCTAAATGGTTTAAAATTGAAAGAAAAAATAGTGTGCTGCCATCTATTTAGAGAGACAAATAAGTGTGATTAACGAAAGAGAATTTTCATCTGGTCGATAATCGCTCTACAGTTAATTAAAACCAAATATGATACAAAAAAATGGAATCTACCTCCATCT